GTTGCAACAAAAACCACACAGCTTGCAAAGCCTAACATATTTGCTCTCTGTCCCCTTACAAAGTTTTTTCCCTGATTCATGAATGTCAAATTGAGAGGCTTGTCAATGGTTCTTTTTGGCTGAGGAGATAGAGCAGTGTTTTGACTCTGAGTTTTAGGAAATTCTATAAGTGTTAGTAATTGATTTTGCCCGTAGCAAAATAAACTGATGAACGGAGTGGATCCAGAGACATGGAATCATGGAACAGAGTGCGGATTCTCAGAGGGAAGGCAAGTGAGAGTGTGTGGGTGGGAGGTAATCAACCAAAGAACTTGTATGCATATATGCATGACCCATGGACACAGACAATAAGGTGCTAAAGGTCTTGGGTGGGGGTGGTGGGCGGGGGTGGGTTGGAGGGGGTCAATGGGGGAATAAAGAGGACATATGTAAGACTTTCAACAATGAAGACTTTTTTAAAAAAGAAAAAATATCTTTTTAAATTGATTTCAGAGAGGAAGGAAGAGGGAAAGAGAGAAACATCAATGATGAGAAAGAATTGAGCCCACAACCCAGACATATGCCCTGACCAGGAGGTGAACCATGACCTCCTGGTACATAGGTCCACACTCAATCACTGAACCACACCAGCCAGGCACCATACGTATTTAAAAAAAATTTTTATTGATTGATTTGAGAGAGAGAGACATCGATTTGTTTTTCCACTTATGCATTCATTGGTTGGTTCTTCTTTTAAAAATATTTTCATTGATTTTTTTCTTTGAAAGACAGAGAGGAATGGAGACAGATAGAGAAAGAGAAAAATGGATGTGAGAGCAGGGCTTTGATCAGCTGCCTCCTGCATGGCCCCTACTGGGAATTGAGCCAGAATCCTGGGCATGGAATCAAACCGGCAACCTTTCGGTGAATGGAACGCACTCAACCAATGGATCCACACCAGCCGGTGCCATTGATTGATTGTTGTGTGTGCCCTGACTGAGGCTCACATCCTTGGCGTAACAGGACAACACTCTAACCAACTGAGCTGCCGGCCAGGTTCCATGCATACTTTTATTTAATGCTCATAGCAACCCTGCTATGTAGAACTTCTTACGCCTGATCACAAATCAGGAAATCAAGTCCCGGAGGAGTAAGGTGGCTCAGGTGGTGTCATATTCTTCTTAATGGATGGAAAGAGCATGAACTTGCTCCCAGGTCTCTCTGACTGCAATGCCTAAGATAGTTCCAACATACCATGAAAGGTATATACAGTAGTTTATAAACCCACTGCCTGTGGGGATGTGAGCTCTCCAAAAGTCAGCTGGTAGGTCCCCCTTCCTCCTAGAGGGATATGGGCATTTCGGCCTCTCACTGGGTCCTGACATTTGAGTATTCTGGTTCAGTGCTTGTCTGAGGAGGATTCTTCCCCTGAAAGCGGAGGGAGGCATAACACACCTCTGGCTCCACCCTCAAGGTCGGGGCGGTCCCTGCAGAGCTAGTGGAGTCAGACACGGGGCCGTCTAACTCTGGCATCTTTTGGTGACCCTGTGTGGAGAGCAAAGAACAGCAAGGTCAGAGCAAGGTGGGGACAGGGGGAGGAGTTCTTGCAATGAATTTGATTGTAATAGGATCTTTGTTCATTCTTCCATTTTTAAAAAAAATATATTTTATTGATTTTTTACAGAGAGGAAGGGAGAGAGATAGTTAGAAACATCGATGAGAGAGAAACATCGATCAGCTGCCTCCTGCACATCTCCCACTGGGGATGTGCCGGCAACCCAGGTACATACCCAGGTACATGCCCTTGACCGGAATCGAACCTGGGACCCTTCAGTCTGCAGGCTGACGGTCTATCCACTGAGCCAAACCGGTTTCGGCATTCTTCCATTTTTCAAAAATACATTTATAAAATTTATTTTTTGTTAATCCTCACCTGAGGATATCTTTTTTGATTGATTTTTAGAGAGGGTGGGAGGGGAGAGGGAGAGAGAGAGAGAGAGAGAGAGAGAGAGAGAGAGAGAGAGAGAGAGAAACATCGATGTGAGAGAGACATATCTATTGGTTGCCTCCTGCATGCACCCAGAATGGGGCGGAGATGGAACCTACAACCCAGGTACGTGCCCTTGACAAGAAATTGAATCCACAACCCTTCTGTGCATGGGCTGACACTCTAACCCCTGAGAAATATCGGTCAGATCGTTCTTTCATTCTTTTATTGTATATTTCTCAAGGTCCCATTTAATCACTTATGCAACAAAGATGGCTCTTATTGGGTGCTTTCCAATTCTAGTGACCACTCTCACAGACCTTTGTGGAAAATACTATTATTTTACAAAGAAAGACAGTAAGTCTCAGAGAAGTTAGGTACTTCTCAAGAGCACACATCTACTGGTCATGAACTCAACCCCTGGTCTCTCAGAGCTCTCCTGTGTGCCAAACACTGGATGTTTATGAAAAAGAACTTCTCCTTCTGTGTGTCTCTCCTTTATTCCCTTTTTAAAAAAATCCTCCCCCAAGGATATGTTTTTATTGATTTATAGAAAGAGAGGAAGGCAGAGAGAAACATCGATGTGAGAGAGAAACATGGATCAGTTGCCTCCCGTAAGTGCCCCAACCAGGCATCAAACCTGCAACCTTTTGGTGTATGAGATGACGCTCTAACCAGCTGAGCCACCCAGCCAGGGATCTCCTTTACTTTTACACCAAGCAATTCTCTGACACCAGCTGGACATCCTACAACTGGACTCAGTTCTGACACCATCTACTTGAAGATATTGTCAGATCCCACAGGTTAAAGGCTCAGTCCCACAAGATCCCCCGCCCCCACTGCCACTTCAGATGCCAATCACAAGTCCAGGTTGCCACCTGTGCTTCTGACCAACTGGCTGTAAATCAGAGGTACCCACGATTCCCTCCTCAAGTTCAATTAATTCATTAAAGTGACTCACAGGATTCAGGGAAACTAGCCATAGAGCAGCTTGTTATGGAAGGATGCGATAAAGGATACAGATGAGCATCCCGATGAAGAGATGCATGGGCCCAGGTATGAGGGAAGGGCAAGGAGCTTCTATGTCTCGTCAAGTGCACCAACTTGAAATCCCCCTCAGCCCCATAGTCAGCATGTTTATGGAGGTTTCATCATGTAGACACGATCAATAATTAATTCCATTTTCAGCCCCTCTCTTCTCTCTGGAGAATGGAGGATGGAGCTTAAATGTCTAAGCTTCTAATTATAGCTCAGTCTTTCTGTTGACCAGCCCCCATCCAGGAATCAACAAGAGTTGCCTCATTACACCCTGGCTGGTGGGCTCAGTGGTTAGAGTGCCAGCCTGTGCACTAAAGGGTCATGGGTTGAATTCCTGGTCAAGGGCAGGTACCTGGGTTGCAGGTTTGATTCCTGGCCCCAGTCTGGCACCTATGGGAGGCAATCAATCAGTGTGTCTCTCTCACATCGACGTTTCTGTTTATCTCTTTCTATTTTTCCCTCACCCCTGCCCTCCCTCCCTTCCACTCTTTCTAAAAAAATCAATGGAGAAAATATTCTCAGGTAAGGATTAACAACAAGAAAAGTGTTGCCTCATTAGAAAAAAAAAAGACTCTTCTATCACTCAGAAATTCCAAGGGACTGAGGAGTACAGCCATTTTCTGCTATAGACTCATTCCTTGGCTCCAGAGTTACTGCAACATTTCTCAAGCGAGGCTTTTCACTTCCTCTTCCTCCATTCTCTCTTGAACTCAACCCAATGAAGATATCTGCCTCTGTAAGGCCACCAGATCTGCCTTTGTCCAGATCAGTTCTGATGCCACTTAGCTGAATTTAAACCAGTGGTTCCCAACATGGGGCACATGCCCCCCAGGGGGTAAATTCGATTTTTAAGGGGGTAATTGGAGAATAAGTTGTGAACAGTGACATTTTTGCATTTCTTATGGGTCTAGTGGCCTCATATACAGTATATAAATATATATTGTGATGTATTTATGCATTTCAGTTCTCTATTATATGTTTTGAAACTTTGCTATTTTTTAATATCACTTCATATTACTGTTATTTTTTTAAAACAATTTCTTAGTGATTTCTTTCTCAGTACTTCAACTGTCCTTTCATTCTTTTATTTTTCTCTTTCATGTTCTTTGGAATCTTGTTTAGACCAAGTTAATGGCCTTTCAGGCTTCTTCCATGTGAATAGGAGCTCACTTTTTGAATAACAAGAATTATATGTCATGAGAGGGTGTGGTGAGAAACGATTTTAGAGATGCTTAGGTGGGGCATGGCCAAAAACGGTTGGGAACCACTAGTTTAAACGGTCATTTCTCAGACTCTAATTTACTAGACTTATTAGCATGTGAAAAAATGTGAGCACTCTCGCCCCCTTGAAGTTACACCCATTGGCACCAGGACCCATCCATACACTCTCCTGGTCAATTATTTTTCTTCAGTGGTCTTTTTGCTCTTTCCCCCACGTCACCCTGACTCTAAGTGCTGGAGGGCCCCATGGCTCTGTCCGCAGACCTATTCTCTTCTTTGTGGTTTCATCCACAACCAGATCTTGATGTGAAAGACCCCCAAATCTCCGTGCCTCCCACCTCGACCCCTTTCCTGAACTCACAGACTATGGGCAATCTACTTGTCATCTGACATAAACATCTCAGAAGTGCCTCAAACTTACTGTAACCAAAACAAAGTTTGATCGCCTCTCAAAAACATACCTTTCCTGCAGAGTTGGCAATTTCAGGAATTGGTACTTCAATTCTTTAAGTTGCTCAGGGCAACCACATTAGAGTTTTCTTTGGTATCTATGGACATTTGTGAACATCTATGGCTATCTATGGACCCATATAACATCGTTGGACACCTGTGACATCCATGAATATACCCATGACAATCAACGGACATCTCTGACCAACTTTGAATATCTATGACATTTCTGGGCATCTGTAATATCCATAGAGTTATCTTTGACATCTATGGACATCTGTAAGCATTTAAGAGCATCTATGACTATAGATGGACCTCTATGACATCACTGGATATCTATGACATCTATGGAGTCCTCCTTGAAGTCTATGACACCTATGAGGTAAAGGCAGTGAGCTCACACCCAAGTGTACCCTATCATTCTATTGGCAAATCCTGTTGACCCCACCTGCAAAATGTATCCAGACCCCAAGTGCTTCACACCAGATTCATCACTGATGCCCTAAGTCTATTTTATGGACCAAACTGTCAAATTCATATGTTGAAGCTATGACTCCCAATGTGACTATATTTGGTGATAGGGCCTTTAACGGGGTATGTAATTTTTTAAATGGTGTCGTTAGAGTAGGACCCAACATGACTTAAGGCTTCATAAAAAGAAGAGAGACCAGGAATACATGGGCACAGAGAAAAGGCCAAGAGTGAGCATGAAGGTGGTCATCTGCAAGCTCGGAAGGGACATTTTACATTTGTAACATAATAATTTATAAAAATACAGATATTGACAAGCGGGAGATACTGGCCGAAGCGAAAGATAAATGCATGGGTGATGGCTGATCATGTTCTCAAAAACCTCACATGGTACCCACATAAGTTAGAGTTCGATGAGAGTCAGAACTTGGAGGATGAGCAGGAGCAGGGCGGGTTGAGGCAGGCATGTGAAGAGGAGGGGACAGCCTAGCAATGATTCTGAGATGCAAAAGGCTTACGTTGCTGGAGGCGAATGAACAGGCGAGTGTGGGAGGCACAAAGCATGGAAGGTGACTGGTTTTTCCTGGCTCAAATGCCGGACCAAGTTGTCTGGGTGCTCGGCAGTGTGGAGAACCAGTGCTTTTCAGACTTGCGTGTGATGGGGCAGTGCTGGGGAGGAGAGGAGGGAGGGCTGCAGCAGACATGCTTTGCAGTTTATTAGTGCAGAAAGAGCTGGTGGAGGACTGGGCGGGACAGGGCCGGGTCTCTGGTTGGGTGTCAGGGACAAGAATAGCATTGGTGCCCAAACTGGTTTGGCTCAGTGGATAGAGCGTCAGCCTGTGGACTGAAAGGTCCCAGGTTTGATTCTGGTCAAGGGCATGTACCTTGGTTGTGGGCACATCCCCAGTAGTAGGTGTGTAGGAGGCAGCTGATCGATGTTTCTCTCTCATCGGTGTTTCTAGCTCTCTATCCCTCTCCCTTCTTCTCTGTAAAAAATCAATAAAATATATATTTTTAAAAAGAATAGCATTGGTGATATGGAGAGCCCAGCAGAAGTATATTTTGGGGGTGTATTAACCATGTGTATTTCATGTTTTGACATCTGGGGCTTTGATAACCCTAGAGAAACTGTCCCTGCCAGGACTAGGTAATTGCTAGAGATAGTAAAGGACTTGCCTTTAAGTGTGACTTTCATATTGCAAACCAATAAGTCCATTCCAAAGTTCATGCCTCCAACCATCTCTTTTATGGAACTCTTATACTTCCGACCAGTCTCCTCCTGCCCTGATCACACCAGGACCAGGGACCAGACAATGAGAGACAGCCCCCACAGCCCAGAGCCTGTTGAAATTATTCAAACTAGCTAGTCCTAAGCCTGCTTCCCCTGCCTCACCTCACCTTCCCCATGGAAACCATCATCAAGGTTCCTGCCCACATTTTCCCCTTAACTCCTTCTGCCTCCTGACTGACCCTAGTGCTGCTATGTGTGGCCATGTTTTGGGACTTTTCCCCTCCTCTTGGGAACTGTGAGGAAAAAATCGACAAGATGTCTCCTGATCTGTTGGCCTGACATACCTGAATAATAATAAAACCTACATTTTCCAAAAGAGTGGGGAGGTGAAGAGCTCGTTTCTGGACATGCTGAATGGAATGCAAATGTGGGCCACCCAGGAAGTGGGGGCAGGGTTGCATGCCAGGGTGTCCATGTTACTCACCAAGGAAGCTGGCCCCATGGCAGTGTGGATGTTGTCCATGCTCATTGCTGTCCTGGCTTCCTTCCTGCGGGTCTTCACTCTGTTGGGAGATGCCAGGGTCTTTGACAATGGTCACTCTTTGAGGCTGGAGTGAGTGACTAGGGAAGGTCAAGAGTGGGGCAAGACTAGGAGCCTTCATAACAAGACTTTGGAACAAGGTTTTCCCCCACACCTTCCGATTCAAGCCTGGCTCAGTGGCTATGGGCTGCATTCTCACCACCACGGCACCCCTTACCCTTCTCCAGGCCCTTACAACCCCTGTAGGTCCCTATTCTCCACCTCTGGCCCACACCTGTCCCATCTCACACAAAATAGATGAGGCAGAGACAGCCAGCCAGCAGTGCAGTGACACCGGCTCCCCCAACGGCCGCCTGAACCACGTCTGCCTTCGTCCTCGGTTCCCCTGCAGACAAGAGAGATATGGATGAACTCCAAGTTTGAGGAGCAGGCATGTATCCCCTCTTCTCAAGCATGAAGAGATGGGTTCCCCTCTCCTCCCATCCAGGGCTGAGAAACTAGGTCCTCCAGAACCATGGGGTGAAGGACACGGTCTACATGACATCTCCTATCCAGTCCCCACACTCCTGTGAAGCAAACCTCATCTTTTCTAGGACCCGGGTTCTTCTCCATCTAAGGTTTCTCTGCCACAGACCCCAGACCTGGCTGCAGAGGACTTTGAGCCTCAGTGTCCCATGGGCACTCCAGAGAGAGAGACACACACAGACCGCTGTGGGTTGCAGAAAAACCTGTCTCTTCTTCCTTCCTGGGAAGGTGTCAGAATCTTCTCTCCTGGTCTCCACTGGCCCTGTCGCTCAGGGTCAAAGGTGGTATTTTGTGCCTCCAAAAGAAGGTGAAATCCAGGAGGTTCTTAGACCTTCAGGCGAGACCCAGACATCTTTCCTGGTCTCATTTGGCCATGCCTCCCAGGAGCCCTGGGGTTAGGGATGTGTCTCTGAGCATCACCTGTTACAGTCTGATGGAACTGCTGAGAGAGTCCTAACAGGGTCACTGACCAGTGGGGGTGGGGACCAGATGCCATCACCAATGGGAATAGGGCAGGAGGAGGATAGGGCTCCAGAGACAAGTCAAGGTAAGGGCCAAGGGGAGGGCAAGCAAAAAATAGAGATTATCAGAGAAGTGAAACTGCTTTACATGACACTATAATGGTGTACAGGTGTCATGATACAATGTCCAAGCCCATTGAGTGTACAACACCAAGAGTAAACCATAATTATTAGTTTTAGTTGACAATGATGTGTCAGTGTCGGTTCATCGATTGTACAAATGTGCCCTCTGGTGGGGGATGTGCATGTGAGGGAGGGTGCGACAGGGTTAGGGGAAATCTCTCTGCCTTCTGTCTCCTGCTCAATATTGCTGTGAGTTTATAACTGCTCTTAAAACCAAAGTCTACTCTAAAATACCCCAAGGCATTTGTAACTGGAGGAAGATAAAGAGCGTCAGTTAGGATGGGCAGGGAGAAGGTTGTGGTCACTCTGGCCAGACAGCGGTTGGAGGTTATTGGGTAAGAGGTCTGTTAGGGGTGCTCATGTTTAACGGCACCCACACCTCCCTGCTGATCTCTGAAGTCCAGCTCTGAATCACCCAGACAGAGACCCACGTCAGTCAATGCCCCATGACAGAAGGCTCCTTCCCACCTGCACTGTCTCCTAAGCAACCACCTGGTGTTGGGTTCTGTGGGGCACCTAGGACAGGAAGAAAGGAATTCCTTCTTCAGTGGACTGAGATGGAGTAAGGATCATTAGGCATTCCCCCTCCACCCTCAGAGACCACAGAAATGCAAGAGGGGCAGGGCTTGTGTCCTCGAGGTCCCCTACACAGTCAGGTCCCCAGGACAAAGCACCCAGCACCCCTGCCTGGCCCTCCTGCTCTGCACACCCTCAGGGACCTGCTGTTCCCACCCAGCACTCACAGGTGACGTTGAGCTGGATGGTTGTCTCCACGGTGACACCAGCGGCAGGAAAATGCACCTGACAGGTGAGGTTGGTGCCGTGGTCCTGGGGCCGTGGGGTGAGGGTGAGCACGGAGGAGAAGTGGGTCCTGGGGCCCAGGGAGGTGTGGGCAGCTGACGTCCAGGAGAAGATGGGGGGCGTGCCCCGCTCACAGGCCCAGGGCACAGAGCAGGTCAGGTTCCTGGGGAGGCCGCTCTCCAGGGGCCCCGGGATGAGGATGTTGGGTGTGTGGTTGAGGGCTGGTGAGGAGGGGTAGACAGGGGATCAGGAGGGAGGGTCCCAGGTGTGGCCCTGAGAGCAGCCTCAGCTTTGGTCCAGCTCCTGCCTCTGAGCCCAACACACTGTACCCCGACCCCCTCCCAGGATGGGGTCTCATCCCAGCCCTGCCCGGGGCCACCGTGAACTTCTCCCAAGGCCTCTCCTGGAGCCCATTCCTTACCCGTCACTTGCACGGAGAGCATGTTATGTTTGTAAGAATATTTAAACCCTGGGGAATGTTCCCTCTCCACTCGAAAAAAATATGATCTGTTATCTGTCCTCCTGGCGTCTCTGATGTCCAGGGAGCAGTTCTTGGTCCTGGGATCCCCGAGGAGGTGGAATCGGCCCTGGGTCTCCTCCTGCAGCATTACGAGTCTGGTTGCTTGTGACCACAGCAGCATCTGTGTCTATCTTAGCTCCTTTTGGGAACCAGGAGCCATATGTAGGGATAGTAGTCCCAGAGATCCACGGGGCAGTGAAGGTGCAGGACACAGAAACACACAAGCCCTCCTGCACTGTCACAGGTGTCTGCACTGTCAACCTGTATCCTCCATCCTGAGCCAGGGACCCTGCAGGAAAAGGAGAGTCAGCCACAGCCCCCACCCTACACCCCCTTTTCCCCTGAGACACTCACCTGCCCACAGCAGAGGCAGCAGCCACAGCATCTCTCTCATGGAGGGTTTCTGGGCTCCTGTGGGTGAAAAAAGAATGAAGACAGTGGGAGAGGAGACCGTGGTGAGACCACGGAAGCTGGGGAGGAGCACAAGATCTTGGCCGTTCACGAAAGAGGAACCTCAGAGCCCAAGCGCTTCCCCTCTCTGCACAGAGCAGGCAGACACCCCACAGCTGAGAGACCATGGACACCCTCCCAGAGAAGGACAGACAGAAAGCTGACTCCATGTCCTGTCCTATCTTGGGTTTCCCCTACAGCTCCAGAGCAGAACCAGGACCTCTGAGAACATCTGGGGAGGGGACACGGGAGTCTCCTAAGGTCCTCCCTTGGGGGCTTTCTGAGCTCTGGTGTCTAAATCAGAGAGCTGGTTCACTCCTGCATTGACGGGAGGTGCCAGCCTCATCTAGAAGCTGTGGTCAGTCCTACAAGGCGTACGAGTCTGTAATGTCCATGTGAGAGTTTGGGACAGAAGGAAAGAAGGGGGTTCCAAGTGAGGTGAAGGCAGTATTCATTCATTCAATCATTCATTCATTCACCAAACACTCAGTGAACATCTACGTATTGGTTGGCTGAAGAAAAGACAAGAACAGATCCATGGACCTGGTCTATGGCTCTGAGACGCTCCCCGCCCAGTGACATCACTTCCTCCCAAACACAGTGCTGTTGGGCTTTAGAGCTGCAGTCACTTGTCAGTCTACCACGTGTCCTGGTGGCACGCTGGGCATTCTCTAAAAACACAAGTGTGGGTTCCTATTTACATCTTATTCTGATTCATAGTGTTTCAATGATGCCATCTCCAAAGTGAAAACCGTGTCGCATCTTCATGTAACACAAAGGGAGACCACAGGTTCCCTGATGCCAGGGCAGGAAACTCTTCTCTATGATTCCGTCACTCAGAGTGTGTGAATGGGAGAGACTGTCTCAGTTCCTCATCATGCAGATGAGCATTTCCTGTCATAGAAAAGCGCTGTAAAGTTGTGGATGAACAATGAGCTCAAACATTTCCCTTATATTTGCAAAGTTCTTTCCAGATGGAGTATGTTTCTCCCGATCTTTAGGAGTAAGATGATATTTGCCTTTCAAATAAACTACATACTTTCTTGTCTCAGCAAGAGTTCACAATTTCCTTTTTGCATTGACTGCTGGGAATCTCAGGGACATATCTAGACTTAATTTCATAATATTTGTTATTCTAGCTGCCTGGTAGAATGATTTCTTTTTTCCTAGGCTATTTCTGTTCTGCTTTTAAAAAATTGCTACCTTAGAAAGGCTATAAAATGGTAAGGCACCTCAAATTCTAAGTTGGACTATGAGGGCTCTGATTTCTACATAAAATAAAAATATGTAAGGTTGATCAAAAATATGCTGCTCACAGTAACATGTGGCTCTAAGCATGTAATATTTCTAGGAAACATGAATGGAATATGCAGCTACAATTAAAATTTAGGTTCAGCTCATGTGGTTTTTCCATCTGAGTCTGTGGCTATGCATCTGGCAAACTCTTGATCCCGGTGACATAAAAGCATTTGCCACCAGATATTTGTAAAATCTTTCTAACACAATAGTATCTAGATAGATGGGCCTTCAGTCTTACTAATACAGAGAGACTTTTGTGCCCTCATTTGGTGGATAAGAAATTGAGTTTTGTCCTGGCCGGGGAGCTCGGTTGTTTAGAGGTCTTCCCGATACACCAAAGTTGTGGGTTAGATCCCAGGTCGGGACACAAGCTCTGCCTCTGTGTCCTCTCCCATCTCAGGAGCTTCCCTTCAGCATGAGAGGTGGACCCGGACCTCTGAGGACATCTGAGGATGAGATGCGAGTCTCCCAGAAGCAATCAATAAATGCATAAAAAGTGGATCAACAAATTGATGTTTCTCTCCTCTCTCTCTCTTACACTTACCTTTTCTCTCTCAAATCTAAATAAAAAATAAGAAAAAGATATTGAATCTCCAGTAAGTAAAATGATACCTTGTTATAGGCTGTCAAAAAAACATCTAAGAATATAATAGAAAACCCATTACAAATTATGTGTATCATAAAGAAAGTTATACCATTTTCTTGGAAGGGAGGATTCTGTGAGTTCCAATGGTATTTCTTTTAATAACTTCATAATTTACATAAAATAAAATGTAGCCACTTTTGTATGCATTTCTATGAATTTGAACAAATGGGATTGATCCACAATCAAGGTATAGAGCATTCCCACTTCCACCGAGACTTTCCCCCACGTCTTTGTCGTTCACCACTGCCACCTCCAGCCCCCAATACAGCTTCAATCACGGTGAATTAATTCTGTCTATAGGAGAATTTCTATAAATGTACTGAGTTAAGTCTATATTCTCTCAGCATATTTGTGAAATTGATCCAAGTTCTATGTATGTGTTCTTCGTAATGTATTCTTATTAAGTGGTATTCCGTTGTATCTCATCCTGGTTTTAACCTGTAATTTTCTAATAACAAGTGATGTTAAGCTTATTTTCATGTGTGTAGCTGCCATTATTTTTCTAAATAGGTGAAGTGGCAGGTTAAATCTATGGGTGGGGTCAGTGGCATTAAGGACATTCACATTGTTGTGGGACCATCACCACCATCCATCTCTAGATCTTTTGTCATTTTTCCCAAGCTGACTCTCTGTGCCCATGAAAAGTACAGCTCTCCATCTCCCCAGATCCTGGCAACCACCATTCTATGGTCTATGTCAGTGATGGCGAACCTTTTGAGCTTGGGGTGTCAGCATTTTGAAAAACCCTAACTTAACTCTGGTCCATGTCACATATAGAAATTTTTTGATATTTGCAACCATAGTAAAACAAAGATTTATATTTTTGATATTTATTTTATATATTTAAATGCCATTTAACACAGAAAAATCAACCAAAAAAAGTCATAGGTTCACCATCACTGGTCTATGTCTATGAATTTGCTAATCTAAGTACTTCATGGAAGTGGTATCACACAGTATTTATCCTTTTGTGATTGACTTGCTACACTTAGCAGAGTATCTTCAACCCACATTGCAGCATGAGTCAGAATTCCCTTCCTTTTTTGAGGATAAATAACATTTCCTTGTATGTGTACACCACGTTGTGTTTATCTGTTTCTTGGTTGATGGGCCCTTAGGTTATTTTCACCTAATGGAGAATAATGCTACTATGAGATGTGTAAACATCCATTAAAGTTCCTGCTTTCAATCCTTTGCGTAAATACCCAGAAGTGAAATGACTGTTTCTTATGGTAATTCTATTTTTAATGTTTTGAGGAACTGCCACACTGTATTTAAAAGCATAGCCGAAACCAGTTTGGCTCAGTGGATAGAGCGTTGGCCTGAGGACTGAAGGGTCCCAGGTTCGATTCCGGTCAAGGGCATGTACCTGGGTTGCGGGCACATACCCAGTGGGGAGTGTGCAGGAGGCAGCTGATTGATGTTTCTCTCTCATCGATGTTTCTAGCTCTCTGTCTCTATCCCTTCCTCTCTGTAAAAAAAATCAATTATATATATATATATATATATATATATATATATATATATATATATATATATATGCAAAGCCTTGGCATGTAGAGCAAAGCCCTAGAGTTTCATTTTCTCCATATCTGCTCCAACTCTCGTTATTTCCGGTTTTTATTTGATTTGATTGATTTCAGAGAGGAAATGAAAGGGAGAGAGAGATAGAAACAATCATGAGAAAGAAACATCATCTCTGGGCTGCCTCCTGCATGCCCCCTAATGGGGATGGACGCCCACAACCCTGTCATGTGTCCTGACCTGGAATCAAACCAGAGACCTTTTGGTTCCTGGGTCGACACTCAACCACTGACCCACAGCAGCCAGACTCCTTTAGCTCTCTTAGAAGTAACTTTCACAGAACACAAGCTCCTGCTCCCTAAAATATGTGTCACTCATGAGGTGACCCACTAATGTATCGGGACATGGCAGAGCAGAGCAATCAGGTTCTGGAGACATTCAAAGATTGCAAAAGGTCACATGGACAATGCAGAGGGCTGAAAGATGGGCACTCAGAAATACCCAGGTCTTAATCCGTGGTACCCCAAAATGTTACCATGTAAGGGAAAGGGGGGCTTTGCTGGTGCTATTAAGGTAAGAATATTCATATGAAGAGCATCCTAGATTATTAGGGTTGATCCATGAAGTCAGTGACAAGTGTTCCCAACATAGACATAGCAGGTGACTTTCTACACACAGAGCGGGATGAAGCCATGTGATGAAGAGATAGGTGTCTGTGATGGAGCCACAAACCAAGGAGAGCTGGCACCCCATCACCTGGAAGAAGCAAGACATGGGTTCTCTCCTTGAGCCTCTGGACCAAGTGCATCCCAACCAACAACTGGATTTCTACATAATATAACTCATTACACACGATGGGGTGTAGGACATGTTACCCCAAGATGTGGCACCCAATCTTTCTTTGTATCTGAGGTCTCCATGGACAACTTAGAAGGGCAGAGGGAGAAGATATTTTTACTCCCTACATGGATTTCTGGTCTCAAGAACTAAGAGACTAAATTTCCATTTTTCAAAGACACAGAGTGTGTGGGAGTTTGTCACAATGGCCCCAGGAAACCAATAGAGGCAGGAATTCATGGAGCACCTCTGGGAGGACCCAGAGGAGAAGTCAAGAAAAGACCTCCTTTTCCAGACCCATCCCTCTGTTCCTCTTTGCAGCCAAATTCCTCAAAGGGTTGTCTGGACCCACTATTCCCATATCCCCTTCTCCAATTCTCTCCTGCAGTTGTTCCAATCATATCTTCACACCTTTGCCACCAACCACAGAAACCTCTGTTGTCAGGGTCTCCAATGACAATGTGTTTCCTTCAAGACATTGAACATTCTGAATGAGTGGCCACCATTCAGCCCTCTGTACTGCCCATGTGACCTTTTGCAATCCTTGAATGTCTCTTCTCTATGTGCCATCAGTCCTTTTCCTCCCTCACCTGTTGTCATCATCTCACACTGACTATCCATGTTCACATCTCCCATCTGGACCCCTCTCCTGATCTTCAGACGTCCACACCAGCTCTCTCACTGATGGCCTCAGTTGGATATGAAGTGTCTTCTCTGAATGAACATCTACCTCAAAACCCTCCTCTCTGTGTCCATCAAACACACCCTTTCTGATGCTCAGGGGAGACACTTGGGCACATCCTTCCTCTAGACTTTCAGACCCCAAGTCAACTGGAACTTCAATGTATATCCAGAAATTAAACCTCACTCTCCACCTCACTTCCCCGGTTCAGCCACCATCCCTTCTTGCCTTCTGTGTCCTTCCCATTCTCTGTTTGGCAACTATGGACACTCTAGTCTATTCTGAAAAGAGCCGCCAAGAGAATCGGTTACAAAGAATGTTCAACCATATCTCTGATTTCCTCAATGGCAATGGCTTCCTGGTTCCTGCATTTGCTGCAAGCTTTCATTAGGCTGCACACCATTGGGTCTGCACCTCCCTCCAGGAGGTCTAGCCCTTTCAGGCACCCCAGGACTGTCATGTCCGAGTCTTGTCTCCATCACACACCAGGCTGCTTCTGCCTCAAAACTGGGACACTGCTCCCCATCTTCCCGGCTAATCTCCTTGAGGGCAACACACAGTCTGCTCTCTCACCAGCATCAAGTCTAGGCTCAGAATCACAGTTCGTACTCTCAGATGTTGGAATTGTCCCTCCATGTCACCTGATCTTTTCCTTGTATGATTCCTCCCCAAACACATATCACCATCCAACAGACTGTAATAATTTTTAAATTTATTTTTAATTTATCCTCTTGTCTCCAGAATGACAGCTTCTGGATGACAGACTTTTCATGCCAGGTTCATGGTTGCATATCCATTACCTACAACAATGCTGGCACATAGTAGGTGTTCACTTATACTTTCTAAAGTGTCTGTATATAAATGACTAAATATGATTTCATTCAAATCCATACAAGAATCAAACACACACACATCACACACATGTTCAATTGGATGACTATTAACTAAGTTCGAAGTATGATCATCCGTTGGAGATGTAGGGATGGGGGGAAGAGTATTTCAGCCGAAGGAACTGCACATGCAAAGTCTCAGAGTAACAAAGGCCTTAGCCCAGCCAGATGTGAAGATGATGTGAGATGCAGGGAGATAATAGAATCTAGTAGAGAGTCCAGCAGGAGACAGTCCACACTGAGCCCTCAAGTCCAGCCTGTGGTGGTTGCACCTCATCTCTGGCCATGGAGAGGAAGCGTCATTGTTCACACTGTGTAGGAAGTGGACCATATGTCTCTGGATACACAATCTGGAGACAGGTAGCTGGTGGGTTCAGGGACCCAGGGAAGAGATGAATGCACAGGAACAATCCCAGCATGATGAGCAGGAGACGGCCATCAATATAGGCTGTGATTGGGAAGAATGATGGACAAGTCTTAGTGGATTGGGGAGAATGGGATGGTCTTAGAGAAGGGGGCCACCATGTCATCACTGTGATGGGAAGCCCAGCAGAGAAGTGGGTTTGGGGAAGAAGATGACAGTTCCATTTTAGCAATGCTGATGGGCAGACCGGTGGGAGGTGTCAGTGGGTATTGGGTGGTGAAACACCTGCATCACTCACCTGAGGGATTAACCTGAGACTGTGTTTGCATCCTCTGTGCTCCTTTGGGGCCCCGGGGCCTTCCTCCTGTGGTACCTGACTCTGAGGGAAGACACCGGGATCTTTCAGTCTGATCACATCAGGTCCAGTGGGCAGCAGACCCAACCTCCTGTTCCCTGTTCAAGGCCTGGAGAGGAGACTGAAGTGGGAAAGGGTGTGTCTGGCCTGACAGACCCTCCTGATCACTGTAGGTACCTCCCACCCTGGAGACCTAGCTTATGGGACACTCAACAGGTCTGTCTGTATGGAGTCCTCATTCAACACACCTTCACCTCCTTCCAGCTCTGCCCCTGACCCATCAGGATTCAGGTCTCAGTTCAGCACTCAGCCTCCTGCCTCCAGGCCTCCCTTCCCCCCTGAGCTGAGCTCACATGAGGACGATGAGGCAGAGAAGGAGGAACAGGATCTTTACAGCTGCTTCACCAATGGCCACCAGCACCACTTCTGCCCTGGGTCCTGATAATCCTGCAGGAAAGAGGGAACGAGGATGGAGTCACCCTGCTCGGCCGCAATCCTGTGTCCTTCTGCTCCCAGTAGGACCCTGGACGTCGTTCCTCAGGCGTTCCTGCATCCCGGGATTTGGGAATGCTTGGGCTCTCACCCTAGACCAGTGATGGCGAACCTTTTGAGCTCAGCGTGTCAGCATTTTGAAAAACCCTAACTTAACTCTGGTGCCGTGTCACATATAGAAATTTTTTTTATATTTGCAACCATAGTAAAACAAAGACTTATATTTTTGATATTTATTTTATATATTTAAATCCCATTTAACAAAGAAAAATCAACCAAAAAAATGAGTTTGCGTGTCACCTCTGACATGCATGTCATAGGTTCGCCATCACTGCCCTAGACCCTGCCCTGATCCCCAGCAGTTGGACAGAACTGGAAATGTGTAAATTGGAATTCATCAAATTGAAACATTCTGATGATCAACAGACATAATGGGGAAAATGAAAAGCCAACCCACTTAATGGGAGAGAACATTTGCTAGCTATAGATTCGATAAGCAATAATAACCCGCCCATATGCCAAACTCTTAGAACTCAACAACAAAAAGTCAAGGAACAAGATTAAACAATGGGCAGACACTCGATATGAAGTGTTTTTTTAAGGCGATATACAAATGAACAATAATTCCGAAAGAAAATAAGCGGTGTCATAATTATCACAGAAATGCAAATCAAAGCCAGGTTGAAGTAGCCTTTCACACCCACTAGTAGCCTATCATTTTTTTTAAGGAAAATACCAATGTTGGCAATTGTGTGGAGAAATGGGAAGCCTTATACTTTGCTGGTGGGAATGTAAACTGATGCTGTCACTGTGAAATACAGTCCGGAATTTCCTCAGAAAGTTATACATAGAAAGTACCATTTGACTCAGCAATTCCACTCCCAGGTACATGACCTAAAAAACAGAAAAGATGTCTGAACAAAAAACGTACATCAAGTTCCCAGCAGTATTATAACCGCCAAAAACTGGGAACACCCAAATGTCCATCAACTGATCAACAGAAGAACTGAATGTGGTACATCCATACAAGGGACTATTATTCAGACAACCCCTTAAGGCCCTTGTTCTCCGTTAGAGAAGATGTGCACACAGCCAGGTCCCTTCATGCCATGGACAATTCCACAGTCACAGAGATGGGGGGGCGGGTAATGTCTGTCTTTCTGATGGCAAAGGACCTACTAGGTCCTTCAGGTGAACAACCAACGCTCACAGCAGCGTGTGGACACTGCTCACTTCCAGGGGAAGACTGAGCTTCTGAGGGCAGACTTCAGTGCCTCTAAGGGAAAAGTCTTGTGTTTTTAATAATTGATGGTTAGAGGGAGAGAGGGAAGGAGAGAGAGAGAGAGAGAGAGAGAGAGAGAGAGAGAGAGAGAGAGAAACATTGGTGTGCTGTTCCAATTCATTGGTTGTCTCTTGTATGTGCCCTGACCGGGGGATCAAATCCACAACCTTGGTGCACTGGGGCAGCACTATAACCAATTGAGTTACCTGGCCAGGCCCAACTTCAGTGCTTCCTTCATTATTGGCCATGTGACTATTGTTCAAAAATACATAAATTAAACTATTGGAGGAAAATAAAAACTTGAGCCTGGAGGATTCGTCAGGAGATGGAGGACCAGGGCCTTGAGAGGCAGCTCAGCCATGTGGAGGGTGCCTAGTTCTCCTGGTGCAGCTGACAGGGGCTAGGAGAAGTCCTCAGGGAGCAAGGGGCCAATGGGAACAGCTGCTCACAGTGGCCATGGGGGCTGAGGAAGAAGACGGATCCCGGGGTCCATCCACAGGGGCTGTCTGGTCACCAGGTGAGTCCAGGATGAGGCAGGGTCCAGCCCTGTCCAGATCTGGAAACAGCCATGCTCCCTACTACAGCCCATGATGGGCTCCTTCTTACCTATGCCGTCTCCTAGGCAACCACCTGTTGTTGGGTTCTGCGGGGCACCTGGGACAGGAAGAGAGGAGTTTGCTCGTCAGTGAGCTGAGATGGGGTGAGGATTGTTTAGGCATTGCACTTCTACCTTCAGAAATGCAAGAGGGGCAGGGCTTGTGTCCTCCAGGTCCCCTACACAGCCAGGCCCTGGACAAAGCACCCAGCACCCCTGCCTGGCCCTCCTGCTCTGCACAGCCTCAGGGCCCTGGTGCTCCGACCCAGCACTCACAGGTGACGTTGAGCTGGATGGTTGTCTCCACGGTCACACCAGCGGCAGGAAAATGCACCTGACAGGTGAGGTTGGTGCCGTGGTCCTGGGGCCGTGGGGTGAGGGTGAGTACGGAGGAGAGAGGGGTCCTGGGGCCCAGGGAGGTGTGGGCAGCTGATGTCCAGGAGAAGATGGGGGGCGTGCCCCGCTCACAGGCCCACGGCACAGAGCAGGTCAGGTTCTTGGGGCGGCCACTCTCCAGGGGCCCCGGGATGAGGATGTTGGGTGTGTGTTTGAGGGCTGGTGAGGAGGGGGAGGCAGGGGATCAGGAGGGAGGGTTCCAGGTGGGGCCCTGAGAGAAGCCTCGGTCTTTGGTCCAGCTCCTCCCTTTGAGCCCAACAGGCTGTACCCCAACCCTGTCCCAGAATGGGGTTCCCTCCCAGCCCTGCCCGGGGCCACCGTGAACTTCTCCCAAGGCCTCTCCTGGAGCCCGTTCCTTACCTGTCACACGCACAGAAAGCATGTTCTGTATGTAAGAATATTTATGCCATTGGGAAATTCCTCTCTCCACCCGAAAAAAATATAATCCATCATCGGTCCTCCTGGCGTCTCTGATGTCCAGGGAGCAGTTGTTGGTCTGGGGATCCCCGAGGAGGTGGAATCGGCCCTGGGTCTCCTCCTGCACTTTATGATCCGGGTTGTTTGT